CAAACGAGGTCGAATTCCAACCAGGCAGATGTTGATGGTGATAGAGTTGGAAATGCTTGTGACAACTGTAGATATTACCCCAATCCAGACCAGTTGTCCAGTGATCCAGTACATATGGAAGTCTCTGTACAACTCAACCTGCTAGATTAGAAGAGACCAAGACCAGGAACAAGATAGTGTTGATGACTTCTGTACTAAATTGTTGATCCAGATGAAGTGGACTCTGACTCAGACGGGGTTGGGGACTACCGTGACAATTGTCCATTAGTGCCTAACCTGTATCAATCTGACTCTGACAATGATAGGATTGGAGATGCCTGTGACAATTGTCCACACCTGTTTAACCCTGGCCAGGTTGACTATGATGATGATAGGATTGGGGACGACTGCGACACACACGTTTCACCTGACAATGATAATGACACCATTGTGAGTTTCTTACACACAATGGGATTATTGGAGCAACAGAGTGTCAGTGGATAATCTATGCAGGGGGGTTAAGAGTATATTTGCATACAAACACTGGTACATAAAGGACTGGGTCTAGGATAAAATGAGTGTTAGATTTTTTTTCGTAGTGAACTTTTCTACTCCATGTAAACAAGGGCCTGTTATCTCCGTACCCTTTACAAACTTCAGTGCATACACGCAAAGCAATGATTATCACTCTGATAGGGTTGGGGCTCAGCGTAAAATAGCAAAATGTGCACGCAGCCCCTTTCCTTAGCATACCTGAGACTTTTGTATGTAATAGCTTTCCAAATTTCTGCAGATGTATATACTAGCAATGTAGCTTTGGCGAGCCAACGCGTGAGTCACATGTGCTACAGAACACAATTGCAAAACATCTTTTCAGCACTAAAGTGCAAACCCTCGGCACAAAACGCGCGTGTTGCACGTTGTGGCGTTGATGTAAACTAGCTAGATGGGCTGGGCCATGCGTCGTCGACGGAGCCAGTTTCTCTCTCTAACACAGGCTAGTTGCATCAGTGGGTAGCGAGCGGTTAGAGCAACACTGGACTGCACACACATCCCTCCACGATGCGCTGAGTGGGAGAAACCTGGTCGACGTAATCCATGCATACTAGCTCTCTCGGTTGTTTCCACGTCATATTGTCTCCAGTCAATGCAGTCGTTTCAGCCTTATTATTTGTCATGCTCTCATAGCTCTGAAGCCGTTGGTATCACTCATAGGCCGCCTCGTAGCCTGTAGAACTGCTCCAGCAAAACACTGACATGACGCCTGTGCGCCAACATAGCCAACTGGCGGGGGCACATGTGCGATCGATCGCACACTGCACTCGCATACGCATGTTGGCTGGCTTTTCACTTGTTTTCACCCATATCTCTGGAATGCAGTCGTTTCAGGAAAATCGCCTCTCATGTTTTCGTTCCCTGAAGCTGCTGCTATCGCTCATAGGCTGCCTCGTAGCCTGTAGTGTGAGAATAAGTGTAGACAGACAGACAGACAGATGGACGGACAGGCGAAGTATACTGTAACCCTCGCTGCGCATGCACACCGAGGGTTAGTGTTCTTCTCGTGGTCATTGGATATGAAATGGAAAAACTGCATTCAGACGACTCGTTTAATCACTAATAATTGATAATTTATCCCTTCTGCAGTTAACAGCATAGACAACTGCCCTCATGTCAGCAATCCGGATCAAGCAGATACAGATGACAATGGACTGGGCGATGCATGTGAAGGCTGTAAGTTTGAAAGAGAGCTGTTATGGTCGATGACACAACTCTCTTCTCATACTATACTAGCTGCAGTTCTGGTGCTGGAACCTGCACTTGTAAAGGTCAATGAAGATGCCGAAGAAGCTCACTTCTGTTTTCTCATTGAAGACCGCATGGATGGGTGCCCTGTTCCTTTCCCATTTCAAATCTATCTCTCTACTATTACTGGCACTGCAGGTAAATATATTTTTTGTTAGACAGTATATTTTGTAATAATAGCTCAGTGCATGCAACCACTGGCCTATATGAAATCAATATCATGATAACTAAAGCTGTTTACCACCTACCAGATTCTCCAGGAGATTTTAGTGCCGTCAGACAGCAAATGCAACTCTTCTTGAACTGTTCGAAATCTCTTTGTGTGAGTATACCAATCAGAGATGACACAGTTCTGGAACTCGAGGAGACGTTTGAAGTGTCCGTGGAATTGGGTACCACTGCTGCCAGGACTAATATATCTCTGAGTAGGACAAACCTTCAGATTGCTATCGTGGACAACGAAACAGGTGAAGCAAGATAATTGTCTGACATGGCAGAACAGAATAACAAATTCTGTCTTGTCATTTGTGGCCGCGTATGTGGAAACCAATCAATATGTCAGCATGGTAAATTTAAAGAAATTTGGTTGACATAATAGTTGGTTTTGTGTATGCGTTCTATATAATGTAACACTGAAAGATGATTACACCAAGCTTACTTGCAAATCCACTTACGTAGGTATGTACCTCCCCAATTATTCACTGTTAGCAAAAACATAAGTGCCTCCCACTATGCATTTCTCCGGAGATTATACTGACAGATACATTAACCTTTTCCCATAACAGCTCCTGTGATAGTAGAACTGGAAAAGACAGGATACACTGCATCAGAGAGTCACCCCTTGATTATCATCTGTGCAGTCATCACCGACAATAGCTCAGATTGGCAGTGGATTCAGTTTGAAGTGATGCTTACAGTATGCTACCACTGAAGGTGAGAAAACCTTGTTAGCTATATACCAGATTCGTTTTTTTCTTTGTTAGTGTGTGTCTATAGCTATTGTTAGGAAGTTGCTGTTTAGCATTATGCAGCGGTAGTACAATACAGTGTTATAAGTGCAGCAAACTTTACTCCTGGTTCTTTCTCAGTACATTAGTTAATCCCTCTTCTTTATTCATCAGATTTTTCTGAAACTCAACTTCCTCTGGTGTTTGCTGCTTGTGAAGCAATACGCCTGTGCCGAAGTAGAAGTTGAGGATGATAGTATTGCTGAGACAGATGAATCATTCTCTGTCATGCTGGAGAGATCTGATAGCCTAGACAGCAGGATTGAGCTGTCAGCTTCTATTGCAAATCTAACTATTGAAGGGGACGATGATGGTAAGTGGTATGAGGAACCTGGGTCTTGTAACTTATACTGGTGAACACTTTTTGCAGCTATGGTTGTTGGGTTTAACTCCACCACATACACTGGGACTGAGACAGCCGGACATGCTAGAGTGTGTGTTGAAGTCTCAAACCCTTCTCTGGTGGAGCTGTCAGACCATTCAGCATCACATGTTTCCAGAAGAAGGTAACTCTTTCAATGGGGGAGTGTTGAACGGGGTATTCACACTATACGTGCTTCAATATACTATCATCTTTGATGTACTTTCTTTCAGGAAATGAAGTTTCTGATCAGTATACATTGCAGTGCAATCAAAAATTGCAGTTTGAGAAGGGTGTACCTGTAGCGTGTCATGATTACCAAATAAGACCAGATGAAGTCTGTGAACTGATGGAGAATACAACAGAGTTTGAAGTTCGTCTTAGTGTCACGTCTACAGATCGACTAAGGATCAACTCATCACAGTCTAGAGCTAGAGTTTTAATTGATGATAGCAGAGAACTAGAGTGTTGTAGTTCTGTTGCATGCGTTTTTGTACCAGAGTGCCTGTAGACGCTCTATGTAGGGATATAGTACAGGTCCTATTGTGATCTGCATACAGTACCAAGCCTTTGAAACACACTAGTAATAGCCCACTGGCTCATATTTAGTTTCATGTACACCCAAATGCTTCATATGTGCCCTCAGTTCAGAAAACTAAGTTAAGACTTTGAGATGACTAAATTAAGCTCACTTTGTTAATATAAAGATCACTATGTTTCAGCAGATGTCACGGTTGGGTATAAGTCCAACAGCAATACTGTAATGGAATGGATGGATACACTGAAGTATGTGCTACATAGTACATCTAAAGGAATTGGTGAAACGTTCACTACAAATGTGACAGTGGACAAAATAGCAAGTAAGACAATCCCACTGTCTTAGTAATAATAGTGATTCCATTACGTTGTGCATCTTCAGACCTACACAGCTAGTCAAGCTGAGTGCTGATAGCCTGGATTCTCCGTAAACTCCACAAATCCGACTCAGACAGAGTGCTTCAATATTTCAGTTGACTTTGGTGTGGATGATATCTGCGAATATTCAACTGTAGTGAAATACGAGTCGAGTTAAACTTTGTAGTATTGGAACAGATGCACGTGTACATGTCAACAGACCACGTCCTACTGTCACTCTTACCTACCAAGCCGGTGTGAATGTGTGTTTTGTTATCCGACGCTACGTCACTGCTACGTCACTGCTACGTCAACTGCTCCACAAACCAATGACAATGCGGGGACTATTATTGCAGCAGTAGTCTTCTCCAATAGTGTTGCTATACTATAGCAGCCATTGTAGTGGTCAGTCTGCTTATTGCAGGAGAAACAGAACAACAAGAGCCCTGATCTCGAAGAGTGAGGTTTCAACTTAGTTCTGCTCTTAATGTAATAACTATTGTTTTGCTCCACAGTCATAGTTACGGCGGGCGGTCTCTCAGTTTCTGATCACAGCTATGTCTCTCTTGGTAAGATTCGTTTTACAAATTTGTGAATAGTGCACTACCATGGATGTGTTAATGAACGCTATCTCAGAGTGTTAGCTTATATGGTACTTCTGCTGCGATTTGCTTCTTACAGACGTGAGAAAGAGGTCTTATCTGTCTGAGCAGCTGAAGCAGCAGTTGAAAGACCAGAGAATGATATTTTCCAAGAGTGAACTTCAGCTTACCAGTATAGTGGTCACAGGTGACGTCTTGACCAACTTTCTGGCATTGCGCTATCACACCGAAATTACTATTTCAGGGGAGTCGGGAATGGTGTATATGGGTATCTGAGCACTGCAATAGGGAAGGAGCTGGTTGCTGTTAAAACTGGAAAAGGTATTATTAGCTGCATGCTATATAATATTATTTATACTGAAATGGTAGGTCTGTGTGTATTTGCAGCACTATTCTCCAGTAGTGATCTGGAGAGACTTGCGAAAGAAGTGTCCCACCATGTTATCATTTAAACACACTAATGTCATGTCTCTGGTGGGAGTGTGCATTGACGAGGAAATACCCCTACTAATTATGCCGTTTATGTCGAATGGATGTGTTTTGGAGTTTGTTAAACACCACAAAGACGAATTGCTCTGTATTAATGCAACAGCACCACAGGTTGAGTCTCAGGTTTCATGTTGATGCTAATACCTACAAAAACTCTCAGCAGGTTATATCAGCCAAAAAGACTCTTTTGAACATATGTCACCAAATTTCAAAGGGTATGGAGTATCTCGCAATGCAGAAGTTTGTTCATCGCGATTTGGCAGCAAGAAACTGCATGTAAGACTCAGACAGAAACCCAGTCCTTGTTGGCGCTATTATGTTGCTTATTTTCGTGTAGGATTGACCGTAATGGAGAGATAAAAGTTGCAGATTTTGGACTAACTGAGGACATGTATGGCACCAACTACTTCCGTCGAAGAAAGAGTGTGACAGGGAGTGAGGAGAAGGTGCCCTTGAGGTGGATGGCTGCTGAGAGCATCGAGAAAGACATCTACACTGAGGCCACTGATGTGGTAAGTTACTATTACAGTGGAACTTTGAATAATGGACACTTGGGGACCAGGGAGTTTTGTCCTTTATAGGGAGGTCATCCTCTCTTTGGAGGTTAAAAATGTACTAGAATCGTTGAAAGTTAACCCTCGGCGCGCTTGCACAGCGAGGATTACGGCACTTGGTTCCTGAGTGTGTTTGTCCGTTTGTCTGTTTCCACGTTTTCTGCGACTACGCGCAACGAGACAACGAAATAGCGACACCAACAGGTTCATTGCTACACTGACTGGCCTCATTTTAAAAAAGGTGATTTTGATAAGTTCTGCTTTCAAAAGTTATGCCGTGAATGCAAATTTGTCAGGCTCAGCTACCTCGACCAGGTCCACTTGCCCTGTGTACCTTGGAGGCACAAGAAGTCACAATGGAGGGCATGTATCGACTTTCTCATGCCATCTACTACTGTAGCCAGACACTCCACGAGCTACCAGCGGCAAACCGCGAGTAACCACATACTAATAGCCCAGCCCAACAATTAGCGGTATCGCGCATGCGCAGCTCGCCGATGGTTTTGCACTTTAGTGCTATTTATTTTTCCATTATTCGGATGGTCCTTTATTGATACTTTTATACTGCTGTACTATTATATCGTGGACTTGTCTCCAGTGGTCATTTGGAGTGACAGTGTGGGAGATCTTTACTTGTGGGAGGATCCCATACACTGGTATTCCAGCCATGGGTCTCCTGAAGGAACTGCAGAGAGGACAGAGACTGGAGAGACCTGACAATGAGGCCTGTCTGGATGAAGTGTAAGGAGCCTCACGTTTGGACCAGTGCTTTAGTCTCCTCTTTATCTCTCAACAGATATGAGATCATGATGAGCTGCTGGTCACTGGACTCCCATGCTCGTCCACACTTCAAGGATTTGGTGGGCAGGTTCAGTGGTCTTCTGGAGAGGGAGTCAGACTACCTGGAGTTGGCTCAGTCTCTCTGCTGGAAGGAGACTGTCTCTCACATCCCACCCTCTTCTCCACTTTCTGCTGCTCTTCCTGTCACCCAGGAACAGGGAACTGCTGAGGATAAGGCTGAAGAAGATGAAGTATGAAACAATCGCCACTCTGGGACATGTAAAAATCACCAGTACACCTATCTAACTCTGATACTTGTTTAGCTCTGTCATTCATAACCCTGTCCCTAGATCTTTTGTATCTTTGAAGAATGCATTGGTGAATATACGAGGTACTATTATAGCTTGTATGCCACAACAGTACACAACTTTGTGGACACTACTAGTGTGTAAGCATGGTATATACAGCTGATGATCTCCTGTCCTGATGTGGCATCCCTACAGCCACTTCAGAGATTCGATTAGTTTCCCATCTCTGACAACTGCACAAGAACGTCCACTCTCAACACGTACACAGGCCTAAGCTTTGTTTTACCCTCGGCGCGCATGCGTAGCGAGGGTACGGTAGTTGGGTGTGTGTGTAGGGTCTGTCTGTCTCTGTGTCTGTTTACTCTCTACGACCTACTTAACGGGCAATGAAGGTCAGAAGCTTCGAACGGTTTTCTCTAGTGAAACTGCTCCGTTGCAAAGCTAGAGCGCGAAAAAGCCAATATGCTAATACGCAACGGACCCGCGTGCTCTGCGTACCTCGGAAGATGCAACGCAGGGCGTGTATCGATCGGCTCTCGTATGCTATCTAGTAGTGTAGTTAGCCCGCGTCAGACTCTGCAAGAGGTAGGTTCTTCATGTACCGTTCACGAAGAACCTACCCTGCAAGAGAAGTAGCAGCTAAAACTAAACCCAGCCCATCAATTAGTGGTACCGCGCATGCATTTACTTACGCGTGCGCGTCACAATGCACCGAGGGTTTGCACTTTCATTTCTCCCATATTTGGCTATAATACTAGGCGCTAATATGTTATACATCAATTTATGCTATTTAAGGAGACACCTATGGCACCCAAAGCGTTAAATTGACGTAGCGGAGTGAACTCCACCAGCACGTTGAAGTAGCTTTCATCTAGTCCCACGAACTGACCGCAACTCAACACAGTAAAACATAATAAGAATGCCAAACTACACAGTACGGTATGTGGTATACATTTACACACAAATTCTACTGGCATGGAGTTCTACAACTTGATGGAGTGGATCATCTCCTCCTTGTTGATGAGGTGAGTGGTCTTGCTGACCAGAGCCATTAGAGAGCTGAGATTGCGGGAACACTCATTCAGGACCTCGTTAGGGTCCTTGACCTCTCGAAAGTTCACGACCCCAGCTGGCCTGTCGATGCGGGCGTAGATTGTCTTCCTGATGACCAATTGAGTCAAGAACTCTTCTGATTCCTGGAGCAAAGGCACACACTATAATACTGGACCTCCACCCAGATCACAAGTGACCATGCTGTTATTATGAGAATATGTCTTGGGATCCTAACTGTGATTATGATAATGGATAAATGGGCGGAAAGAAAACAAAGATAAACATTATCTTTTTTCGAACTTTGGCCCAAATCACGTGCAACTTTTTCCCTCTCAGTTTCAGCCGAGAGAGTGTATATAGGGGGAGAGAGGGTGTAGTGATAATTCACGACTCACCTCCATGGAGAGTGAGATTAGCTCTGACAGTCTCTGCATGGTAATCCTGGTGTAGTACTGGGCCACCACCCTAAGGTTCTGGGGAGGGAGAGAGGGTGAGGCTACTTTAGCATAATTACTCTGGCCACAGGAATGGGACAATAATTGTCAAATGTTCACAAAATAACAGGTGTACAATAATATAACTTGGGAAATGTTAAGAAATCAGGAGGTACATATACACACAGTATCTGCTCTTGTTGTTTCCCTGCTATGAAAAGCTAATCAATTTCATTTCATAGAGACAAAAGCAGAAATGAGCTGTACGGCGACACGGTCTGTCATCATTATAAGTCGACACACAGCACTACATATTGAGCTACACTGTTCGATGACCGCTCTTCCTGCGAGTCCTCCCACACTGGTCGTTTCCCGCTCTGAGCTTGGTCACTACACAAACACTTCAGTGGCGGAGCAGTCGGGCATGCCCTCCCTCAGCACCTCCTCATACTTGACCAAGAACTCCGTCCACTGGAGCAGCTCTCGTCTCTTGAAACACTCCAACACCTCCCTACACAATACCCAGTGTGATTGACGTAAGTGAGGGGAAATGTAGCAATGATGCAAAATTCAAAGGCCATGATCAACAAAGAATTCTGAAAACTGTGAGAGACCATCAAACGGGCCGCAAGGACATAGACATTTTCACGTGCAGTCAGTAGTTTTCATCTGGCATGTGATATCGAAGTACGCCTCTTGACACAGCAGTCAGTGGACTGCGTATTGTACATACATAGCACATACACACTGATCTTGCAGTGAACGGTATTCGTGGCCTGACTGTAGATACCAAACGGCGTGTGTGGCTACATGTATAGATTGGCTCCGTTTCTCCAGTTAGTCTCTTCTCCTGGTGGACTCTGATGGTGGAGTCCGACTGCTCTGTGGTCATGACCGGGTGCCCCAGCAACACATACAGTACCATGTTCTTCAGTGCCTGCACATTGGCATCACACCAGCATTGTACAGCATTATGTATATGAGCTAAATTTAGAAACTGTTACTAAAAAGTGAATCTTAATTGCACTGAGCCCTATTGGTTAGTAACATTTTTAAATTTAGCCCTTATTGTACCGCCACATAACATCCACTTTAATCCACATTTTTCTAATACTAACCATTATCTATGCACATGCAATAAAAGGGATGTGCTATCAACATGTAAAGCAATGCTTGGTGCAGCTACTACCTATGCTACACCATTGTAGGGAGAGAGAGTCTCACATCTTGCCACTGGAGCTCGTCCTCCTGAACCGAGGGTGTGGTGAAGATGGCCTGGTAGTGTCTGCAGATGGCCAGGTAGTCGTGGTCGTGCTGACACAACTCTATCATCAGTCGGTAGTACTTCAACTTCAGCTCCTAGCATGGGCACAGCACAATTACATGTGTACTCTAGCACGCAGAATGGTGTAAATACAGCACGGATCTCTAACACGGAGAGAGCTATAGAAAGCAGAGAATTTACTCTTTTACTGCACATATATACACCTAAATTTTATTATCTATGGATACCGCATAAGAATAGGGAACCCTGGGATCACTACGATATCTTATTGGTGTGTATCTCACCTGAACAGCTTCAGAGTCGGTTGTAGAGCAAAGAACTTGACGCTGATCTTCTTGCTGATGATCTGTGTCCGGATGTAGTCCTTCCGTGCCAGCCCCAGTCTCATCTGCTCCAGGATAAACTGGACCTTCTCATCCTTCTCCATGGAGCCAAACGTCTCCACCTGCGGTCCATCACCACAGACAATGCTGACAATGTTGCACTATCACTTGTCAAAACTAGGAAAATGTAGTGCGTTTTTGCTCAGCAGGGCCGATCCAATGTCATGCAGCCAGACACATAGTTGAGATGGAGCTTATTGTAGAGCTGCTTGTTACTCTGCTATTCCATTAGTCTTCCTGCCCACTGACCAAGATGTTAGCGTGCACGCAGAGTGTTAAGAAAACATGCACGTACTGGGTTACCACCTTAGTACACTAGAGGAATGCAAGGCATTGTTTGCAAGCTAGTGTGAGCATGCTTTGCGTGTATGTGTAACGTAGGAATAATTACGACTGTGCGAGCAGTTGAATATTTCGCACGTGTTTTGCGTGTATTAATAATCACGTATAAAAGTGCAGTGCAGTGCAGTACATATAGAAACATTCCCGCATTGAAACGACTACAGGTAGGTTCGCTTTGCTTGCCAATTAATTCAGTCACCTGCAGTCACCTACGTGCTGGCCAGATAGTAGTGCTAATATACCAGGTTGATCTGTTCCCACCACATCACAATTGCACATTGGTACGAGAACTAAACCCTGGCTTATTTGATAAACACCTGCAGTTCCTGTAGTATGGAGGCAGCAGAAGCAATATCTCCCTCCGCCTCCCTGATCTTGGACAGCTCCATAGTAAGTCGTGCCCTGGGGACCTCGACATATATCTGGAGACAGTGAGAGAGGAGAGGGAGGAAAAGAAAACACGAAGAGGGAAGGGGGGCAAAGAACGAATAACAGGGGAAGATGGAAGGGGGAGGATAGGGAGAGGGGGACACAGAAAGAGACAGAAGAAGCGTCACAGGAGAGGGAGAGAGAACATGGAAGAAAAACAAGAGGATTGAAGGTGCGGTAAGAAGATAAAACAGCAAGTAAAGCAAAAACAATTGACTCCAGTTAGAAGGCAATAGGTATATATAGTGAAACATCCATCTATAGCTCACTTTCCCTTCAGTGACAGTCCGGAGAGTGTCAATCAACTTGAGCTTGATGGGTAGGTCTGGAGTCTGCTCTACAAACCGGCAGCACTGTTCCACCATCGAGGCCACAGCCTGAGCCACGAGGAAGCAACAGGTAACAAGTGATAATCGTGGATGTGGTGGAGCTCACAGTCTTGAACTGTCCTCTCTTCTTGGTGAGCAGCAGAATGTGCTCATTCAGTAGCTCCCACTCCTGTAGGTCGAAGCACATCTGAACTATGGCCTTGAGGACCTTGCAGTACTCTGGGATCTGATCCCTGTCACCAGAAAGAAACAACACTCATTCCGTCATGGCGTGGTACATATGACTAGAATGTACATAGAGGGGTTGATTGTGTATACATACTGACCAGTCTGGTTTGTTCTCTCCAGAGACAGCAGGCTCTCCAGTGCCTCCTGTACCTGTCCATTCTACAGGGAGGTATTGTCACAAGGCCCAAAGGAACTAGTGAACTACTACTTAAAGCTATTTGCAGCTGGTATGATGTTAGATTCAGCTGTGCGCTAGAATAATGCTAGAAATTTTTTGCTAAACAGGAGCATAACTACAATTTCTCTAATTAGAGCACATTAACATTTTTGACTTACAGGAAGCTCAAAGCCCACGTCCACATATAAACTATAAGCTAGGTATGTACAGACACTTACTTTCGCCATCTCTTGCACTTCAGGCAGCTTCTTCTCTACAGCCTCGCTGAAGTCCACCTCCATCTTCATAGTCGCCCCGAATCCGCCATTGTAGCCCCTCCAGCCGTTAATACTCACTCGCTGCCGCAGCCACAGGAACACACGCAAGCACTGCAAAACTTACAGAGAGAAGACCCCTAAAAGGAGACCGACGGCCCAAGTACACGTGGTTGTTTCACTAGCGGCGGTGGGGTGTGGCTTATAGGGACTTTCCCGTTATGAGCTCAGCAGAAAAACTCGACCTGGCAGTGGGGCGGATTTACCATCCGAAACCATGGCATTATACACGACAGTGGGGTAAGTCGTTTGTCTCTAGCTGGCGGGACACCTCTACCTGGCCGGGACCCTTAGCTCTACACCAACCTAACTAGCTAGCTAGCTATATTGGCTGTAAAGAGACGCCAAGCATGCTTACATTCTATGTGGTTCACGACAAAGTAGGGCTACTCTAGTGGAATAGAGTGATGCCCAGGGTTGTTCCTCCTGTAGGGGAACGGCCTGCTGAGAGAAGCTACCTCTTTGAAGTCAAACCGAGTCCTCCAGCACCTCCCTGTCTTGAAGGTAAGTTATCCACGTTGTAAATGATCAGCTACACGCAGGGCATTAATTATGTAGGCTGGTTGTTTTCTCAGGTGCATATGATAACGATCTATACACTACATTCGTACAAATTCTCCCACAGTTTCTAAACACGTGCACAACGTTTGTCATAGTATAAACTCCGCATGCAATACCGTAGTCTGTTGGTATATTTATATCATTGTAGCACTTCGACATTCTATTGTGATTTGCATATTAGGACCATGCATTTGCCATTCCAGAGGTGGCAGAAAAGTGGTTCCGGCTGATGGACAATGGAGACCTCATTACTATGACTCACCCCAGACAGGTCGGCTAAGACATTGGAAAGAGGGCGCGGGAGAAGAGCATTCACCTGTGATACCAGTAGTCGGAGGCGCTTCGGAGGAGACCTGGAGGTTTTATGACCGAAAAGCGCGCCAGGGCGAAACGGGCCCGAGAACAAGGGGAGAGGGAAGGGGCCGTTGGGAGAGGGTGAACGACCTGCGAAGCGAGACAACGGCCGGGGAAACGGGGTGACCAAACAGTGTATGAGAAGGAGAAGAGAGCGTGTGAGAGTAAAGACTGGGGGAGGAGGCTCGGAAGTGGGGGAGGAGGGGTGGGAGCGGGGAGGGGGGGGGGAGGGGGTTGTGGGTAGGGTGGAGGGAGTCTGAAAAGGGGGAGGGGTGCGCAATGGCTAGTGAGGAGGGCATTACGATTGTCAAGAGGCGTGGAAACGCGAGGGGCGGTGAAAAAAGCAAGAGGGAGGGGGGGTAGTGTAATGTACGGAGAGGAGACAGAACGGAAGAGGATTCTCTAGATGTGGAGGATGGGATGAGAACGGTATGGGCCGGGGGGGAAGTAGAGCGGGAACCGGGGGGGGATCAAACACGACAAAAAGGGGAAGGACCGGAAGGGTGATGAAAGGGGGTGCAGTGAGGGAGCAGTAGGCCGGGCAAGGTATAACCCTCCGCAAGAAGCGAGCACCACGCGGGGGTAGCTGCGGGACCGGATCGGAGATGACTGACGCCGGGGGGGGGGGGAGGCTCGGGGGAGAAGTACGGCCATGCACAGCCGGGAACAACAGCTAAGAACACAGGGGCATGAGAGCGGGGGCGGGGACAGGGTAAACGAGGGTGGCACTCAAAGACGGGAGCCTGTGACCGATAAAGCAGACGGAAAGAGAGATGCAAGCGGCGTCGGCACAGAGGCGGAGGCACCAGAACGGGAACGGAGGACCACACATAATTAGCGAGGATGCCGGGAGTGGCAGACAGGGACGGGAAGGAAGATCGCGACGGGAGGGACGACGAACGACATGGTGTCTCACGCGCAACTGTATCCCATCCCTGTTCACTGTGCACTAGAACTGGAGTATATCCTCCACCTTAAGATGCTCAATCCTGACTTTTCCGTAGCCAAGTTACTCTCTCTAGCATGCTAATCCAACAAAACCAAACAAACTATGGCATCTCACTTTTTTATAAATATCTCTTTCACTTAACTAATCATAATCATGGATGCAATTTATTTAGCAGGAATGCACGTATGCATACACATCTATACATAGAAAAATGTGTGTATACTTCAACATAGCAGTTTATAGATGCACAGTCCATGCACTGTGTATAGGCTCTGAATCTCTAACTACTAAAACTACCTGTAACTATGTATGTATAACGGCATGTGTGCGTCCTCACACAGTATGGCCGGCCGGTGGGACACTCCACATACGGAACTGCAGACGACGGTTGACCCCAGGTCCAAAGGCCTCCATTCCCCTACAACCTATGGGCCTAGACCTCCTCTGACCTCCCTGCACTACATCAAGGCCGACACTGCTCCCACCTACAATGCTTGCTAGAGGTACTGTAAACACACGTCTAAACATGGATTATATACATATCATAAATTTAGTTAAGATTGCTAATTGCCATCATGCTTGCTGAGTGAATTTGAAGCTGTGTATGTGTGTTGTTTGTGTATGCATGTTTGTGTGCAAATTAAAAAATCATCTTTGCTGAAACTTAATCCAAGAACATATGTAATCATTCACTTTTATTTTGTGCTCTATTGTGACACCTGACTACAGTGTACAACTGTATATACCTGTTCTGTTCGTCAGATGAGGCTGGCTTTGCAGTGATGAACGTGCAGCCCAGCATCCTAACACCCTCCCCTTCCTGCCACGAGGTAACTGGGTCCCGAGTCAAGGTCATCGGGAGACGCCATTGATCACACTCTAGAACTTTCCAATGTCTGCCAAGGTGCAGTACGTTCCTCTCGTGAATTCCCCCTATTTTTTTTAACTTCACTGTGGGGTTTTAACCATATTTTAATGGTGGTCCCCTAAATTGGCCCATGATTTTTTTCCCCTTGTGTACTTAATGTAAGAAACACCCTCTTACACGGTTAAAAACCTGCCTCTCGGTTAATTCCAATATGAAGTAAAAACTAACTCGTGTGGGCTTTTTTTCCAATAATGCCCCTCAAATCCTGGTAGTACATTATAGTCCCCCCCATCATGTTTTGTGGGTCATTTCTCCCAGTCTTGGCTTCTCCCTCTCTCCCTGCATCCATATGTCACTACTTAGAACAGAATCCAACACTTATTAATCTAAATCAAATAATGTATGTTCCATCAAACATGTTATACTAATGAAGGGGCTATTGCCCATGGGTGTATGGTACAGGTATTCAGGTGCAGTCGAGGGGTCTGCTTGAAAATAAGATGTGGGAATGGCTTCGAATAAAACAGACCAAAACATAAGGGGGGTAAAAAAAAAACAACGGTCAGCGTATTATAAGACATTGTTGGCCTTGTGGAGTTAATTTCTGTTACGCAGGGTGGTGAAAGTGGGTTAACACAGAAGAATTACATTGTTGGGTTTTTTTTGTGTGTCCCCGGGGGGGTCTGAAAGGTGCGGCGACCGATTTGCTCTCTGTTTTTGGTCCCCTGTCCCAAAACGGAAAACTGACCCTACTTTCCAGAGACAGAAAAGGGTTTTACGGATATGTTAGAAAGCCATAAGGGATTCCGATCATGGAGTTTGTGTTTAATAATGAGACTTGCGGGGGCCCGTAATTGGGGGTTTTTTTTCCACCTGTTTTCACACCGTAAATATTTTCCTCAAAAACTGCCCATTTTTGTTTTTGCCCCCCCCCCCCTTTTTTGCCCCCCCCCCCCCCCCTCAAAAATTTTCAACGATGGAATAGTAAAGATGGCCACAATGCCCATTGGTAAATGTGTCTGTAGTCTGAGAAAGAGTCCCCAAGGGAACCCTTGACGCCCTGAGGGAGTGCCGTCAAGTGGTGGTTAGCCAGGCCCTAAATCTCCAAGAGGCCTAAAATGGACCCTCCCATTATTCAGGTTTCATCATCGTTCTGTGTGGGGTTTTACTGAACAATGGTGACTCCAGCTTTTGGTCCCCTAATGTTGTCCCAGGGTTCCCCCAACCGACCTACTTCATATTCACTTGAGACGGGAGGTCAGAGGCAAAGTCAGGGAATTGGGGTACTTTTTGCCCATCACCACTTGCTCTTTCCCCCTCTTACTACTGGATTATTTCCAGGTTAACAGTAATCAGTAAACCCTTTTGTTTCCAGCAATTTTTTTGATTTTTTCGGGTTTTTTTTTTTGGCTTTCTGTTTACTGGGGCAAAGCCCCGTGTGGGGGATGAATCTCATTGTTTTTTCAAAACCACAAGTGGTTCCTGCCTTCCAACTTAGCCGTTTTAAAAACTCGTGTGGGCCAGAAAAGAGAGAAAGTTTTTTGGTGGTAAATATAGGCCTCTGGATTAATGTTAAGCTTGGGTTAAATTTAAGTGTTTTTTTTTTACTTTTTTCTTTCAAGCGGTTTTTTACTGGAGGACAACATGTTGGGAGTCCATTTAGTTAAGGGGGGAGTGGGTGAAGGAAAATGTCGTGGAGCTATTATACAATTTTGTTTAGCCTAGAGGCAAGCAAGTGGTGTGGGGGGGGGGGTGTTGGGGGGGTGGTGTGGTGGGGGGCCCCCCCCCCCCTCCAGGCCAAACTTTCTGTCTGACTAGCTTTTACATTTTGGGGGTTTTTTTGTTACTGTCTGGGGGTTTTCCTTCCTCTACTACATGACATGAATAAAATTCAATACCAATGTGATGCACACTCCCCTACACTGTTCAAGCGATGGGTGTTTACTAGTAGCCACTGGGGGGTCCCCCTTGTTGGTGTGCAACCCACATAAAGGGTCGAGTGGTTAAACCGTTTTTTTTTTTTGACAAACCACCCCCAATGCTTGAGTATTTTTTTTTCAGTACGGTTTGTTCCTGTAAGGTTGTCATTGTGGTTTTTTTTTTTTAACAATGTATATGTCACACCAACCCTAAGTTTTATAGGTAGAACAAAGGCAAAAGGCAAAACAATCCATAACGCCCAGGGAACAGCTCTGGCAAAAATAAGAGCTTGGTGCGCCTTGGGGTTCCCCAGGGTTGGATTGGAAACCCCACGACACCTGGCAAACAAGTCCCCCTAAGCGGTGTTCCTCTAACCACTGAGTGTTTTTTAACCAGGGCCCAAACCTCCGCAGGCTTGGTTAGGGTGTCAAAATCCTACAACCATAACACAAGAAACAAAGGCACCCCTCAAAAGCCACTGT